TTTGTCCTATTCTGAGGGTTGTGATTTCTATTAGCCCCTGCAGGGCCTCAGAATTGCTCATGAGAAGGAAAGAGTACCTTTTGTTGTCACAATAGGTATGACCTTATCTGTCCCCAGCAAATTGATTCACTGTATGGCCAAATCATAGATTACCATAAAAAACTCCATGTAAGAGATAAGACCTGATCAATGATTAACTTCATCTATTCAGCTTCCCTCTGTCTTGAATATCAAGCTGGCCTTGTAAAAGCTTTTTCTAACTGAATGTAAACATTTGTCAGGAAGGATTTTAGTAGTTGCCTTGGTATTTGGCTGTTTAAAGTTCAACTTGTGTGTAGTTATAGAGCAACTTTCCATAGTAACCTTAAATTCATTATTATTGTAGATGCTATGATTATGTTGGGCAGTTCAAATCGAGCAAAGCAAAGTTGAAAAATACTGTTAAATGATCTATTACCTCTTACATTGGAAATATTACTAAATGAATCGCTAGCATCCATTGTTGACCCATGGAGCACTATCATCGCAAATTGAGATTTTATTTACCAACCAGGTGAGTACCTTATTACACATGTAAGTTCTGCATCTGTATGTGTCTACTTTCCTGGTTGCCATGGTTACACCTTATCATGATTCTAGATAACATGCTAATGAAGATTCATATAAGCTAGGTGGTTACAGTAATTTTATAATTGCAAATACAAAATATGGGTTGTAAATAATGTTACCAAAGATGTATTAAATATGATATCAGTCAAGATTCTTTGAGTTTGTTTCATGAAAGATATATCACTGTCAGTAAAACAGTATCTGTAGTATGGTATCCAGGCCTGTCAACTGTCCCGCAATTTGCGTATTTGTCACGCATTTGCTGAAGAATTTGGTCACGCCAGTTATTTTTGCGTGACAGAAAATGTCACGCAAATACGCATTTTACCTGGTAATTGTCAAGCAAAAATATTACTGTTGAAAAATTTCTAAAAAAGTTCGTCTACACAGCAAAAATATGAACGCCGAAAAAAAACGTACGCATTTCGTTTGGACTTTTCACGCGAATGACGTATATGTCACGCATTCCGTTCGAAATTTTTCGTTCAACATTTCCAAGTCACTCATGTTACAGGTAGGTGTTCCCAAGTTGACAGGCCTGGGTATCATATTCATGTTCTCTCTATTTGTAAATTATGAGTGGAGGAAAAGGGGTTTACGAAAAACACCGACCGCCGACCACCGACCAGTCACTCTCCACAGTTGGGTACATGTGGTCGGTGGTAGGCTGACGGTCTTTTACATAAAGATGAAAAAATGCAAAATTAGAAGTAAAACTAGTTTGGCTAGTGAGTAGCCATTTTGAAAAATGGCAGCCATTTTTATGTGAATTTTTAGAAGCTTGGTACCCTTTCAAATGACACTTTGGCTCGTAATTAAGCAGCCAATACAAAAAATTTCGAGACAAATGCATGACATATGCACAAATTTTGAAGCAAATGCGCGACCTACATGTATACAGAATTCCCGTGAAATTTCGGAACGACATTTTTTCGTTCTTCTTCGGCATTCTTTTTTTTGATGTATCGGCATTCATTTTTCTTAAGTTCTTCTACAGAAATATTTTTGCTTGACAATTATCAGGTAAAATGCGTATTTGTGTGACATATTCTATTGTCATTGTATAGATGTTCTACTGAGGAACTTTGATTATATTCAATTTCCTTTGATCTTTAACTTTCTAAAAAAAATTTTAATGTTGAAATGTTGAATTCTTTTGATTGTCATGAATTTAAGGTTCATACATAAGCTGAACATCATCTAGTTTCAAACACTAACACAATCTGAATCTCATTCTGTTTGATGCAAAAGCAGTTTTACTTTAATCCAAAATAAAAAATATGGTAAATCAATATGTGTCTATGGTAGATGTTAGTATGTAGTCAAACCAGCACTAGTGCTGCCAGCTACCCATCCATTCATCTATTTAGTTACTAGTAAAGCTTTTGTACCTTGTCTATGGTAAGAATAAATCAAACAGAAATGTTAATTTGACATGATTGGTCATGCCCACCTTGTAGGGTGTAGGGATAAAGGGAAGGGTCAGGATAACACTTATATAAAATATTTAAAGTGTCTAATAATGATAATGAACATATTACAATGTTACACAACATTAGTAGATGCTAATTAAATATCAATTGTTGTTAGTGTAATATGTATTTTTCATTTAATGCTGCAACAAGTACACACATACCAAAAGGTGTCACACCCACTTTTCCCTAAAAGCAGCTATATGTGACTATATTTGATAAATATTATTGATTTACAGTATCATTATATAAACTTTTCAGTGTTTAAGTGTTAAAATAATAATATACATATTGATACAATTTTTGACAAAGAAGAAGCCATAAAATTAAAACAGATTTGCAAATATTTCCCTTTGAGATCAAAAGGACACATTTGGGAGGGGGTCAAATTAAAAATATTTTGAGATATAAATACTGTTTCTATGGTAACCATATAAGTTATAGAGATTGGAAATTTCTGGCACTCACTAACCTTAACATGTCCTACCCAATATAAAACAATAAATATCTGACATGCATTAGTATTTTTTTATTGGGTGGTATTAAAGTACCCCCATGCTTTCTTGGGGGTAGGGGTATAAATTGGTCTGAGGGCTGCCTGCCACCCCTATAGAAAGTCCAACTACCCAGAAAGTGTCCAGTATAATCATATAGATGGTTTGAAATAGGTTGGAATGTGTAACCTTCTATGAAAGGAAGGTGTTACAATTATCAGAGTGGGCCATAGTCTATACCTCAAAAGTCATAATGTGGGGGCATTCTCATACCAGATCCTAAAATTTGGGTCCATTGCCATACCAAATGTCAAAAAAAAGTACCTCATGTGCGCCGAGGATCCCCGTCAAGGTTTATGTACAGTGAGGTATGGCAATGGTCAGATTTTTCCACTTTCTGGTATGAGAATGTTATTCTATTATTTGATACATGAAATGAAACAGTAACAGAGCTGTCAAGTGTCCCGCGAATGGCGGGATTATCCCGCGAATTTGATCAAAATTAGGCTTATTCACGTGTCCCGCAATGTCCCGCGAAGTCCCGCAAATGTGGTTTTGACCTCCACGAATTTCCGAAATTGTTGCAATCCCCTATATTGTGATTATCTTATCTTATATAAGAAGCCAAGTTTTTGCACTTTTGAGGAGTAAAGTTTACCTAATTTTAAGTACCTAGCATGCTGTTGTTTGGTATCAAAATAAAGAGGAAGGGTTCAACTTTCATTTTAATTACGAAAATAGGGATGTAGGACAAAAATAGTTCTAACGTTGGCCTTTTTACTATCCGTGTGGCCTTCATCTCAGAACTGAGCAAATGTTAGCAAACGCGAGTTACAATAAATGGACGCTGATATCTAGAAAGGATTTGTAGAAAAACCGGGAACCAGGTAGTAAATCCTCCATGCTGGGTTCAAACTTGTACCCGGTACCCGGTCAAAAAACGGGTACCCAAAAAACGAAAAATACGAATATATAACGTAATTAGATTATGAGAAAACGTGTAAGATTTGTTTTGAATTCACAAAAATGTATGTATCCTTCAAAATTGAGCTAGAAGCTTCAAATAAAAAGCATATTTAAGGCTCTTTTCTTCCCCCCCCCCCTTCATTACCAATAGAAAAATGACCACTGACCATGATGATAGAGGACGAAAAGAGCCTTAAAATGCTTTTTCTTTGAAGCTTCTAGCTCAATTTTGAAGGAAGTTACATACATTTTTGTAAATTCAAATCAAATCTTACACGTTTTCTAATGATCTAAATTATGTTGTATATTTGTATATTTCGTTTTTTGGGTACCCGGTTTTTTCGACCGGGTACCAAGTTTGAACCCAGCATGGAGGATTTACTACCCGGTACCCGTTTTTTTCTACAAACCCAATCTAGAAAAGTAACCCCATTCCCTATAATTTGATGTAGATTAATCGAACCCCTATATCATGGGCTTTCAATTGAAAGAAAATGCCTACAGTATATGAATAGGTACATTTTAATATATAACATTATGGGGGTAAGCGTTTCATAGTTGTTCACGACGCCAGAAATGCAAAGTATTGTTCCGAATTTTTGAATTTCGTGTTAGATTACGGTACTCACACCTGAAGCATGATTTTTGCTTTTGAAAAATTACAATAAAGTTTAATACTATTCCTATACGTATTTTGTGAAATTGTGTTGACGTTTATTTAAGTTACAATACAACGGTGCATTATATTTGATTAATCAGTATTTGGAAGTTTGATTTAAGTACTTTTACACGCTTTTAGTCCCAATCACGCAAATCCTTGAATGTCCCGGGACATCCTGCAAATTTAGGTGAATGTCCCGCGAAATCCCGCAAATTTAGGGCACTTTGTCTAAAAAATCTGTCCCTCTATCAAGTTTTTGGCGCTAAACCTGTTAACTATCCCGCAATTAGGGTGTTTGTCCCTCGAATGGTCCCGCGAAATCCCGCGAATTTGAGAAAAAAAGTTGGCCTATTAGCGCAATCACGCAAATCCCTTAAATGTCCCGCGAATTTAGTAGATGTCCCGCAAAATCCCGCGAATTTTGGGCACTGGGTCTAAAAAATCTGTCCCGCGAGAAAATCTTTAGGGGTTGACAGTACTGCAGTAAGTAACTTACTGCACGACTTACTATTTCCAATAGTTTTGCATAAATTTTTTAATATTTTAGAATTCTTGTTTCCAAAACTATGTGATCATTTTCATGAATCCATCCATTTCTGCAATCAGAATTCAAAATTGACCTTACCCAACGTACCCCACCAAGTGCCTTTTGGATTGTACAATTGACAATTTTACATTTATTTTTATATGTGAAGAACATGATGCCATAGTTCTGTTACGGATGTTACTGGTGAGTGATTACCACAAGGCCTGCTGGTGTATCAACAAGTCATTAACTTACATACTTAAAACTACTAGAAACCAGAAAACAATTCCGACAAGTATTATAAACAATTGCATTGTTAAGGAATCATCAGGTTACTTTAGCTACATGATTTACAACACATATTTGACATATGTTCTAACATTTCGGAAAGGAAAAATGAGGCTTTAACAGCATTTAGTAGATACAAGGCTATATTGTCTCATTACCTAGTTCACCTATCTATGTAAGTAAATATAGCGTTTTTTTCATGTAGTGCAAGCTTATATCTCAAAATATGGAAAGTATATCAGGTAACAAGTTTGAAGGCAGAAATAATGTGAGTTATGGTGGGAGTAAAGCTGTCTTGAACAGAGAATCTGTGAACATACAATTACAAGCAAGGCCAAGGAGAACAAGACCAAAAGTCAATATCACTATCTCGAAACAGTCAAATAATATCACAATGGATTCTATGCGTACACATCATCAAATCAGATTAGCATGCCGTACTGGTAAAACTGGCAAAGAAGAAGATGAAGTGTTTTTTACTGATCGCAAGTATTCACCAACAATTCGATTCAGTAATTCTACACCTATTTCAATTCCTACAATTTCTGACTCATCTGAAGATGTTTGTTATCAGGTGCACTCTCATACCAATGGAGGAACTTATAAGGCTGTAAGTCAAAACAGAATATTGAGCCATGGACGTAAGCAATCTGTCCGATTTATAAGTCCACATTTCAGGTAATATGTTTAATGTTTTGAATATTTACAAATGGATTCAAGGGAACTTAAAGGGGCAGCAAGGACTGTAGAGAGAAAATTCGAAAATTTTTATTTTTTCTGAGCTATCAGATCAATATTTCGGCTTAACATCTTCTTTGACATACCCATTTTCCTAAAATGTATGGATAAACTAACAATTTCAGCATTAAGATGTGTAAATTTAGTTCAAAGCTTCTATAAAGGGAGTCCCACTTACATATGTACAGGGCTTTGTATAAAAAACCTCCTACCCACGTACCCTCGTACCCACGTACGTGGGTCCTGACCCAGTCTTTAAAGAGTTAAATCTTTAACATTTTTTAAACATTATTCTATCTCAATGTATGCTTAATTATGGATGAATTTATGTACCCATATGCCTTTATTTCTAGATCGGACATCTGTCTCGTCATAAAATAAAGCCGGTGTAAAAGAAATTATGGTCCCCTTGGGATTATGGTCCCTTTTCTGAAAGGCCCTTACTGGCCCTGATTGTGGATACGATAATAAGGGAAAGAGTTGTATTTAGGTCACCATATAAATCAATGGAAAGTAGGACCATAATTTGAGAGGACCTCCTACCCTTTTACACCGGCATTGCATAATGTTCATTTGAGCTATTTGAGTGTTGTTTTTGATATATCGAAGCGATTTTTTGTTGATCGGGCAGTCTAACAGTGTACAACCCATCTATTGCTTGGCGCAAATTGGTCACATGGGGCATGTGTTGTAAAGTGCTGTAGTTTTTGACTCCATGAGCAGAATATGGTCAAACTTTCACAACAAAATTCACATTGAATGACCTGAATGATTCTGGATTGACGAAGTTATTCAACTTTTCATCGGTCCTGTTTTTTAACACCCTGTAGTTTCGATTTTTATCACATATACTTTTTATTCTTTCAAACGATATTACAAGTATTCATTGTTTGCACGACAGATTTGAACTATACGTGTAATTTGTCTTATGTCTTTTATTTAATTTAACATCAGAATTGGAGATACAAAGTGATAGAGTGATCAATTCACACGATCTCAAGGAATAATAAAGGCTGCATTTCTGTTTAACCGTGGCGCAATTGAATAACGAAATATTTGAAAAGTAGAAGGATTCGCTATATTCGTTTTTAATCGCTTTTTGGCACAATTTAAGGATAATTGTGCGCACTAGTTCAGTGAATCATTTAGATGGAATTAAAAGTTAGAGTTGCCAAACTTATGCAGGGGGGGTGTAAGTTTGGTTTTGTAAACTTCGACATTATTCATGGCCGTTTGATCCATAATTAGGTAATATGAAGAGTAGAGTTTTATTTTGACAATGATTTGATGTAAAACTGGTTTGAATGATAAAAGTTCAGCTTTGTAGTTTCTAGCTTTTTGCGCGTAAAACGTGAATACAATGGACAACAACGACACCAAATCTTTGACTAACATACGTTAATAACGTATAATATTCGTAAGAATGAATTCTAATAACATTTGAAATAAACATCTAATAAAATGTGGTGAATTAAATTGGTTGGAAACTCTAAGAAATATATTTTTAAAAATATGTCAACTTTTGGACAAGGGTAAACTTCCTGGGACATTTACAATCTGCATGAGGTAACAGGAGGCACGGATTGCACTGAACGAAGGCTAGGAGATTGCTAATAAGCACTGATGTGTTATACAGGTAAGACTGCCCGATCAACAAAAAACATTTCGACATATCAAAAACATAAATCAAATAGCTCAAAAATAATGAACATTTATGCAATTCCGGCTTTATTTTATTTTACTAGAGAGATGTCAGACCTATAAATAAAGGCATATGGATGCATAAATTCATCTATAACTCAGGATAAACTGAGATTGAATAATGTTTTTAACATTTAAAAATTTAACTCTTTAAAGACTGGGTCAGGACCCACGTACGTGGGTACGAGGGTACGTGGGTAGGAGGTTTTCTATACAAAGCCTATGTACAGTGTATAGATTTTTAAGATTCACCCCGTTTCAAGAGGAATATCAGCTGAATTAATGTTCATCCAAGGGGTTTCTTTGTAGATAATAAAAATATATATTAGTCTTGATGAAATCCAAACTTAAATATATTTTGACACTGGTCGATGATCGTTGAATGGCCCCCTGCACTAATTGTAGCACCTTTAATTTAAAATTTAAATTATAATGACTTTGATATGCAAACAAGTTTAGTGAAATATTGTTTGATAATGAATGGAAAGACTGAAATACTTGGTAAAACAATTATGAAATGCTAAACGATAAGCATTATGTAACATTCCACCATCTCTCATAGGTCGGCATCGGCCAGGCACTGTTTAATTTTTATGTATTATTTTAATGTAATATGTAAACTGTATCTGTTTTAGTGCTTGAGACATAAAATAAATAAAAATATTACTACCACTACTTCAACAAATTCTCTCAGGATTCTGAATCTGACATCGTAATTGAAATCCGACTTCCAGTTAAGATTCTACACCATTTTGAAATTCGCACTTGCCAGTATCCATGATGCAGATTGATCAAATTCACTTATCTAAGTCCCAGCCAGTTTATATTATATTAAGCATATTTTTATATTCTTCATAACTGATGTTTGTTCTAATTACAGCATGAAAAGTAAGAACATTTTTCGTATGAAATTTTCTAGTGTTCAGAATTTTGGTGCGTCACATTACATGTTAAATATTCTCTGATTTATATCATAAATTAGACCATTTTGACGTTTTATATCTACAACCAGACAGTTTATCTACAACCAGACAGTTTATCTTGACATATACCTTACTTATCTTAAGTAATAAAAAATGATTAATTACTGAAAATTTTAATTCAATTCGTTGAAGTCTAAAACAAGTGTTTTTAAATATCAAGATAATGTGTGATTTGTGTGACATTCACTAGGGAGCGGCTTTTGTACTGAAAGGAGCGTTTTCGGTATATTTATCCCAACGAACGAAGTTCTGTAGGGATATAGTGAAGCCCTCCGTCCGTCCATCTGTCCGTCTGTCCATCTGTCCGTCCGTCAGTCAGTCAGTCAGTCCATCCGTCTGTCCGGAAGATAACTCAAATAATAGTTGATGGATTTTCTTTATATTTAGTGGAAAGATGTATAGTGGTGAATAGTTTTACGCAAAAAAAATTTTTTCAAGATGGCCACTGCTTTAAAAATGACGTGACTTTTTTGCAAAAATCATAAATTTTTCATTCTGAACCAAAGTAATTAATATTATTGTTTGAAATTTTGGGAGTATATTCACAACATTTATTTTTTTCACTTATATTCCGTTTTTTTCATCCTGACCCCCAGGGGCCGTATATGGGGGGACAGGAAAACAGAAATTTTCACTAATTTTTAGATCTTTCTAAAGTATAGCTTTATTATACTCAAATGAAAAGCAATTAAGAGTAGATTGCAAATATTGTATCTTTTTTCTGTTTCGAGCCTCGTAAAATTCATAATGGCCGTCTAATGTACGATTTCGCAATAATTTTTCGATCCCTTCAAAGTATGGCTATATTATACTCAAATTGAAGGAATTTTGGAGTAGATCACAATTATGGTATTATTTTTCAGATTTGTATTTCAGAAAATTCAAAATGGCTGCTTTGCAGGAATATGCAATTCTAAAATCTAATTTTTTCAATTTTAACCAAAGTAATGAGTATAATTGATTGGAATTCGCTAATTGATATTTTGTTCGTTGGGATTTGCTACTCCACGGAGTTGCCGTTATCTAGTTGTATACTGAAAAATGTTCTGACTTGTTTCAGTATAAAATTCAGTACAAATATAAAAATACACTGACTTTTTAAGGACATTTTTAAGTACAAAATTGTACTGAAAAATATACTGACTTTTTAATTTGAAAACTAAACATTGATAGTACACTGAAAAATTCAATGAAGATATTTTCGTTTTTGATAGCAATATTTGCGTGTAATATTTAACTTATTTCAACCGTCAAAATTCCTCAATTCAGTTCCCGGCATGCACCAGTCATAAGGGAAATCCCTGGGGAATTCCCCTTCCGACATTTTGAAAATTGCTGATATATTTCCGATGTAAAAACTAAAATCTCTTCGTTCTGCCGATAAACCCATACAATTGGCGATCTAACAACATAAAAAGAATTCTAAAATACTCTGGAATGTATCGAGGTAGGTCATTTAATAGTGCAATGCGTAGTTCATTCTCCGACATTGTAGAAAGACAGGCTTACTGATAATACGGCCGTACGACCACAATCTAAAGTGGTCGGTAGGATACGATAATATGTATGGAGAACAGAGCAAATGTCTGAAGTCATCACAGGCCTGTCAACTGTCCCGCAATTTGCGTATTTGTCACGCATTTGCTGAAGAATTTGAAGTCACGCCAGTTTTTTTTGCGTGACAGAAAATGTCACGCAAATACGCATTTTACCTGGTAATTGTCAAGCAAAAATATTACATGGCGTAGAATAATGGAAATAGCGCCATGAATCCCGGGGCAATTAATATCGGATCCAAGTACGTCATTAATGGTCGAAAATCAGAATATTGAAAAATTTATAACCTAAAAGGCCGAAAGATAATGCGGCAAATATTGAAACGGGGGTTGTCAACATTTTGTATTAGCTTTGATCTCTTAAAATCCGTTGAATCCTAAGCGATTGGAGTTGTTTAGATCACTTAACGAATGATATGAAATGGTGAGGATTTGGGTTTTTTCAAAGTTTATAATGGCGGCCAATGGGTGATTTTAGCAAAATATCCCGAAAATTAAATCATTAAAAGGCCGAAAGATCTGTGGATGGATTTTGCTGTTTTATATATCAAAATGAACACTTTGTTGGGTCTAACAAGGATCCGTTGAATCCTAAGAAAATAAACGATTTGCTCAAAAGTTATTAAGATTTTAAATTGTGATGAAGACTGCTCTCCATTGAAATCTCTGGACCATGAAATGTCGATTTACGCGCATGCGT